TTGCGCCCGCTGCAGGCCTCGGCGGGGATGCGCCCGCCTTGGGTCACACCTGGGACGAGCTGGACGCGGAGGGGCGGCAGTACATGCTGCACGGCAAGGACCGCATCGCGCTCGGGGCCTTCGACAAGGCCGCCGCCACGCCCGGGGGCTGCGGCTGGCCCGTGTTCGCCAACCGAGCCGACTGCAAACTGCACGTGCTGGACTTCCAAGGCGCGCTGGACGACGCCCTGCTGGCCATGGACCGCCAGGCGCAGGAGCAGCGCGACCAGCAGGTCGGCCGCCACATCCTCCGGGGCGGTGGACGCCGTGACACGCCGAGACACCCCAGCCCGACCTGATACTGGCCCCCAGGACCCGCTGCCGACCCCGGCCGGCGCCGTGACGACAGCGTCGGACGCGCTGTGGCGGGAGGCGGAGCTGGAGGACGCGCTGGTGCTGGCGAGCCGCCTCAGCTCGCGGCGCGAGGACCCGCAGGGCGGGCTGCTTATCGGCGACCCGCGCGGCCAGCGCGTCGAGGGGCTCAAGGCGGACATCCGCCACGCGCTCGGCCCCGCCGTGGGCCGCGTCATGCGGCGCGACCTGCTCCGGGCCATGCTGCGCCACAAGGGCGTCAACCCCAAGCGCCTCGTACGTTGGATACCACGGAGAAACCGCGCGGAGAACGGACTGGGAACCTCGTGGGACACCCACGGTATCCCGCGGGTGTCGCGCGAGATTTTCGGCCGTTCCCCCAGGGTGTGAGTTTTTGACCAGTGCATATGGCCCGCAGACGGCGGGCCAACGGCTGAGCTGGGTCACCATCTCCAGCCTGCACGAAACCCAGAAGCCGCTGGACCCGGAGACGCCCCTGCCGCTACCGCTCGTGTGGGGAGCGTCGCCCTTCACAGGGCGCGCGTCGGACACGGGTGAACCACGCGGCTCGGCCACGCCGCCAGGCCACGCCGCCGGCAGTGCGGGTGAGCGGGCGCTCACCTAACCCGTGTTTATGTCGTTTGCAGAGGAGGCAGAGAGCGACGAGAGCGACGATGAGGAGGAGGAGGCTCAGGAGGGCGTGGGTGAGAAGAAGGAGAGCGACGCGGGGAAGGGACAGGACGGCGAGAAGGCCGCGATGGCCGAGGGGGAGACGCGGGGCGATGAGAACGAAGGGGCGGAAGCTGAGGCGGTCGAGAGTGAGGCCCCGAAAGACGCGGTGGACCACTCGGACGATCAGGCAGGCGAGCCCAGGCAGAGCGAGGCCAAGGGCAGCGAAGGAGACGCCAAGGACAAGAAGAGGCCCACCAACGCGGCGGACGGGGAGACGCGGCGATGGGGCTGGCTGAAGCAGATACCGGGCCACGACCACATCTGCGCCGACCCGCTGGTGGCCGCGCAGGCGGATAGCATAGCCGAGCTGAGGGTCCTGGGCCAGCTCGAGAGGGACCGCGGGTACCTCCGGAAGCTACTCGGCGAGCTGGAGTCTGTGCAGGTAAAGGAGTCGGGTGAGGGTGGGCCACCCGATCAGCACGCGTGCTCGACGGGGCTGCCTCTACTCAACGCC